TTTTCTCGTTGTTAGTATTCGAGAGTTGTGCCTTGCATGTATTGCTGTAGGACGGATTGAGTTCCACGGTCGGAGATATGTCGAAGGGGAGATGTCAATCGGTATATGTTTTGTATTCTGTTTCTTGCAATCCAGACGAAATACTGGATGGCTTGCATTTTCTGTTTCGGGAGTTATTTCAGCAGGAGGGCTGTTAAGTTTTTATGTTTTGGGAGATATTGTGGCCAGGGGCTGCTAAGAAATTGATGTTGTCTCTTTGTTTGAGAAACGGCTTAATTGGTGAAAGTTTCCTCTGGCGTTTAAATATGCGCCGGGTTTTTAACCTTTGTCTCTTTTGCCGTATTTGGTATTTTGGTTTTTCTGAATGATATATTGAAGGAAGGAATTGGCATATTTTGGTAAGACATGGTTGAGGCCTGTGTGCTTCCGACGCTTATTTTGAATTGGTCAATAAGTTGAAACACAGTTTTGTGCGAGAATTTTGTTCGAGGTAGACTGTTTGTTGACGCGTTTTGCCAGAGTTGTCCGTCCAGAGTCTTTATGACGTGGCTCTGATGTGATGTTGATCTTTGCTGAGTATTTTTCCAAGTACAATTCTTTGTTTTTGACTGCTTGAGAATGTGGTGACGACGTTTTCTCGAGAGGGGTGCTTGTTAAGACTCTTAGTGAAGTTCCATAGTCATAAGAAGAAGGAGTAACCTGAAATTTGAGTATTCGATAGATCCGGGAGTTGAGATGATTTGTGGATACAAAAGGTGAATGGTTTTTGAATTGTTGCCGTTTTACTTGGCGATATATGTACGGAGGATCTCGTAATCGTGTCTCGTACCGAGTAGGGGGGCTGTTTGTGTGTGTACTCGGCAGGATACGAATCTCCGAGATCTCCGGGGGTTACGCAGATAGATATTGTACATGATGGGTGCGATGGACTTGACGCGTAGGCTCTGCTTGCCTGCCCATGTCTCTCACTCGTTAATAGTTAATCAAGGAACTTGAGTCACTCCTTTGTGCAACACGCTCTCGACAAGAGCCCGCGAGCGTGATAACATATTACACGCGCCGACACCCCAAACATTGAAAACCTAAGTTGTTGATGTTCTTTCACGTGCATAGGATTTCTGTCGTCGGTCTGTACTCTTATGTACTCTGTGTTTACAAGTTACGACAAAGCACCCAACCAAGGTTTTCCTTTCTTCTCGATTTTTCCGGGGGTGTAGAGCACAATCGATCTCGCCAACCAAATTCACAAAGTGTTTCTAATTTTTATATCTGGGCGAGAGTGATAGGGTGCACGTAGCTCAAAGGTCTTGCCTAATTGGCCACGATGAATGTTGTTCCGTTTGCCCTTCTTATCCCCCGTCGTGAACCGTTCATGCACACACTTAAACCCTATCCCTACTCGTGCGGATGTCCTTCGTTCTGTCGATGCAGATCCTGCGAAACGAAACGAATACATTCGCGAGATGAACCTCTCTGTTCAGCTGCTGCGTGAAAGGGGGACCAAGGACTGGGACCTTCCGAGCTTGACTTCAGCAGCAGGATTGGACGACAGCTCGGACGACGACAGCTCGGACGATGACAGCTCGGAAGGCAACGGCAACGGTGACAATGGAGCTTTGGACACCGTGTCACCACAAGCCTTGCCGGATGGGTCACTGGTCGGGGGTGGGGGGGGTGGCCCCGGAAGCGGCTTGCACTTGCAGCCTGGGTGGTTTGCCGTTTTCCCTTTGGAGTTGTCGAATCCGTGCCCGCTGGTTGTTGGCAAAATAGTTAGTGTGGACTTGAGCGCGGGAAACGGGGGTGAGTTAACCGTCACTTGGTTTTCGCCTGCTTCTCGCAAGAAATGCCGTCGGTCGAAGTACGGGAGGGGCGTATGGTCGCAAGAGTTCTTGAAGGAGGGCAATAAACTCACAGCGGATCAGGGCACGGAGTCGGTGGAAGCTGTATGTTTCACTTTCCCTTCCTTGCTGCAGAGTGGGAAGCTGCCAAGTGCGGTGTGGGACGCGGTTGAAGAGAGCGTACCCACCTCCTCTCTCGAGGAAAGTGATTCCGAAGTAGAAGAAGAGCAGGGGGGGGAGCGGGCGGGGGGTGACCCGGGGGGGGAGCGTTCAGCTATCGTTCAGCCTCCCACTGCCCCACCGCCCGAGAGGGCCACCACCCCGATCCCTAACCCTCGCAGCAGTGCTACGCCAGCACTTCGACCTCCTCCAGCGCCAGGCGTGCTGTTGACGGCTGCACATTTTAGACCGCGTAGGGGGCAAGAGAGGACGGAGTAGTTGATTAGTTAGACGACTCGTTACTGGTGGATGTACCTTGCTTGCTTGTGGATCCGACAGTCGTTTACCTTTTTAGCGTGACCTCCAGGGCTTTCTAACCGGAGTTTTTCATAGTACTCGGACATTTTGCCTGTGGGAGGAGGCAAGGTGATTTGCCTCGATCGCGCGTGCCTGGTGTGTGTATGTGCATTTTCGCTGTCCGTGCTTCATTTAGTCTTTGTACGATAAATCAACACTGTGGGGCGGCATCGGGAGGCGGCGAGACTCAAGCGGGTTCGTTTACCTTAGGTCGCCGAATGCGTGGTCTAACACACACACGGATAGCACTTCGGTCACAAACTCGCGTACTTAACCTACGTGGGGAAGAGGAGCCTTTCCTCTCCACCACCATGTCTCCACTATGAATGTTTTATGCACCCTGCATCTCTACCGCCGAAAATGCTCCGGAAACACCTCAAAGTTATGATATGGCATTGAATCTCGCAACGTTTCATATCACACCCTCTCCCGGATAATCACCGAAGCTATACTTTCTTCTACTTTCCTCCTGAAAACACGTTCCGTCTGTCTCCCGTGATGTTTTTCGCCATGGCAACAACAGGCGTGGTCACCAACGCCTGTATGAACTGTTTCTGCCCGCGGAGAAGATTCGATAGCGCTTTCGATCATAACTAAATCCAAAGGGTGAACACAAGACGGGGGTGGTGTTCATTCCCATTTCAAAATTAGTTCCCATTTTTCTCGCAACCTTGTTTAGAGTTGACGGCATGCTGGGAACTGAAATAATTGCTCTAGGCGCTGTCTTTTGTTTTGATGGAAGTAGTGGCAACACACCTAACGCCTCCTCCTCTTTTCCGTAACCGTGCTGACATTAAGGTTGGCTTGTTTTTGGTTACCTTGTAGCCATTTTATTTTTGGCTGAGACAAGAGCCTTGTCTGCAACCTCAACTTTCGTTTGTTTGTAAGGTGCCTGCCTTGCGCTTCGCGACCGAAAGTGGCCGTGGACCCGGCTGACTTTGCCTTTTCCATAGCCGAAGTTGAAAAGGCGACGCCGCCTTGCGTTTGGTACCCCTCGCCGGACTCCTCCCTACAACGAACCTAGTTTTTGCCGCGGCAGCTACCTTGTTAAACTTAAAACTTATTTTCCCGCGTCGCGACCAACTATTGTCAATCCTCGCCTTGCAGCAGGGAAAAAGCAGTCGGTGTCAGCAGCAGCAGGAGCTTTGACGTGCATGATTTCCCTGCATGGTTGGGATACGGTTTCGGTCGGGCGGTGGTGGAGCCAGATCTTGTTGGGGGTCACCGGTGACGCTGATACCGTGTAGTCGGAGGGAGCGAGGATCTTCTGAGCCAGACCCAAGCCGGGCGGAGGCAGCAGGAGGGAGCGGCGAAGGAGAGACAAGGGCGTGAAGGACGCCGAAGCCCACGGCATACTCGAGGCCAACCTTCTGTCGGCGCCCGGGTTACGGCCTCCACCGCCGCCGACTCTGCGGTGAACCATGAAGCCCAACTCAGGGTGAGGAGGAAGGCAACGTGCATGAAGCCCAGGAGCACTTGTTGTTTCGTTTGTGGTTTCAACCAATGGACCCCTGTAACCTAGCCCCGGCCTCCGTTCTACCCCATGTTGTCCGCCGCAGGTATGGTCAAACCGGGCTTCATCTCGCTAGCCAGTTCATGCGGAGGGAAAAGGTTGACCCCCCGGCTCCCCTCGAGAACAAGGGCGTGATGTTCGTGGTGTATCGGCGCCTAAACGCCGGTCGCTCTCTGTTGTTGGTCACTTCGTACGACGGGGAGGATACTTTGGTAGGGGTGGGCTTGTTTTTTTGTTTGAAGTACGGAGGAAGATACTACCTTGAATATCTGTTCACGTGGTCGTGCAAAATTGGATAGCGTTGTTCGAGATTAACTGACACAGTTTTAGGTGTGGTTGATGCCCTCGTTTCGAGTTGATAGCGGTAAAAAAGCTGAAGTCGAACCCCGTCGTGATACGCACAACAACACAGCATGGCGTAATTCCGCGGGAAAACTCAGAACCTACACGAGTGGGAGATCACTAGAGCTTCGACCCCGCACCTGGTGCAGACAGGCGCAACTACTGTAGGAATCTGTGGTTTGCATGTCGCGTTCATGGGCTCGTACCAATCGAAACACTTTCAAATGAAATTCCGAACATGAGATAACGCGGAGGGGATTGATCGTCACGAAACAAGGGGCACTACATGGCTGTGATAGATTTGCAAGAACACATGCTCGGGACGCACGTACGGAAAACTCGAAGATCGCTTCATGGCCTCCGACAACAGATCATTCGGAGAAGCCGCGCGACCCATCTGCCGGTCGAGTTTACAGACGACATTCTGCCTCAGCTGAAGAGCCGCTTCTGCTGTGTGACGACAAGGTAACGGAAAACGATACCACAACCACTCCTGTTCGCACACCGCCGCGAATCTCCATCTGTTCCGAAGAGGCTGTGAAGGCCACCACCGCGAAAGTCGCCCTCGCTGTATGGTCGGAATAGTAGCGACCCAGCACGTCAACAACAACGCTTATATCTACAGCCCATCTTCGTGGGATGATTGATTCTGAAAAAGGAACGCAGGGTCCAATGGCCACTCCGTCAGCGTGATGCTGCCAATGTGGGTATCTTTTCGTCGCGCTGCTTGCCGGCAATGCTTTGCGGAGACGTGCTGATTGGGTGTATCATCCGAGACGTTCTCGTGAGTCCCGCCGCATGTTTGGTTCGCCGAACCTCTAGCACGCAGACGGAACACTGGCACGATGGTCTTCACGCAGAAACGCAACGAGAAGCCCAAACTGGATGTTGTCTGAAACACATAGGCACGTCGTATGTCTCTCAACGTCGCTGCCTGTGGCTGCAGACATTCTCTGTCGGTGTGCGGTTTTAATTCTCTCAATGTCGCTGCCTGTGGCTGCAGACATTAGGCTATGTATCGGTATGCGGTTTCAATGCGGTTCGGCGCTTCTAGTTACACACATCGAGGCCCCTCGAGTGCTTTTATTTGTAGTGTTGGATTCACAAGATACACCAGGTGTTCAAAGCAACAGGTGTAGGCCTTCACCTATTCTGCACGTTTGCTTAAAATTCTATGCACGTTTTTTTCCGCGAGCATAAGCCCAATTTGGCGACTTATGCACGCCGTTATGCACAAAATTCCTCAATGTGGAATATTGCCTGACCCAATTCAAGAACAAGCGTTGGACAAAATATGGCCTTTCTCTATCGGTAACGTGGTATGTGTACTTAACCGCCGGTGGAAGTCTCGTTCCAACCCATCCTTTTCACACGTACGTCATGCTCTCCGTAGACAGCACGGGACCTCGCCCTGCCGCACTGCTGTTTTTGTATGCGACAAAACGCTTCGCCCTGGCGAAAATATGCCCACAATCAAGCTTGGAAGGAAATTCTGCAGTGTAGTATAAATTGTTCTTTTCAGGGTACCTAGAAGCGATCACGGACGGGTTCCTTTGTCCCTAGGGATCAGCAATCACTTTTCGAGAGTGTTTTTCTTGTCTCTTTTTCAAATCAGAACGGGGTCGAAAAAAATAATGATTGCGAAAGAGAAAAGAGAGGAAACGAGCTCTCATTTTGGTTGGCCCGCAGTTTCGCGGTACACCAACATCATCGTACCAGGTGGGTTCCATTTTAAATATTGGTGCGCGCCGATTACGCGTACTCAATCTATGCAGCATGATAGAACCTAATTCGAAGTGCTATACATCCGCAAAAGAGACAGCTACAAGATGCGAGACACCCTGCAGTAAACAGACTGGGGACACCTATACTAAGCATGACGCCACCGCGTGGATGCCATTTTTCAGCTAAATCTGTCCTCCCCGACGCCTACGCGCAACAAATCACTACAAGAGCTTTTCATCTTGCTCTCTACCCAACAGTTCGCATTCGTGCCAAGTTTCGTGCCAATTGGCAGCGTAAACAGCGCGTTCTCGTATTCACCAGGGATGTGCCGTCGGCTCGCTCGAGGTTCCGCCGCGTCTTTGAGGGCTCGCATGCTTTTCCTTACCTCTTTGTTTGGGGCCCACGTGAAGTCTTTCACTGCTGAGTTCTAGCGTTGTGGTGTATTCAATTTCATACTACTTGGGCCCGTCGCTAGCTATTGGAGACATCTACAGCCAAGGTGCTTCATCTTGGAGGGGCGGCTCTGCTGTGTGCGTGTACAGCACCACCTTAGAGTGCGAATTGGCTCTTACGTACGTCTAGCTTCTTTTTTTTGGAGACGTAACCAGAAACGGGTATACCCGGGTACTTTATCACCACTTTCGGGTACACTTAGAAATCAACGCGCCGGCACCCCCAGGTACCCCCAGGTAGCCACCGGCATCTCCAGACCGTCTGGTGTCACCGGTGTTGGTTACTGGTGTACCCGGAAGTGGTCAATTTTGTACCCAGAAATGGTCACATTTTCCTGGCGCCCGACAATACTAAAACCCGCAGGATAACCCGTGTACCGCACATACCCGCACGATACACCATGTACCGCACATACACCACACACAGCAGGGTGGTACCAATCTTCGACAGCCTCCTCCGTAGATCGCGGCGAAAAACCAACCGCCGTGTGCCGTGTGCCCGCCCCCGGAGGCAGTTCCTCACCACTTACAGCACTTCTCACCCACGCACCACACGGTTATCATGCTGGAGAAGGGCAAACAATACAAAGACGCGGAAGCCTTGAAGGTACATGTGGCGGCCCTGTTCGCGGGAGCTGGCCGTAGCTTTCATTCCGGTAACGGAGGCGGCAGACAAAAGAAGCATATCTGCAATGGCGCCAAAGGAAGATGTCTGGCTGAAGTGCGCGCCTGCAAGCAGAGGTCGGGAGAGTTCAAGGTGACGTTCATCATCCCGGACCACAATGACTGCTCTGGCGGCAAGGTCGGAGCGAGATCGGCTGCGCTCGAGGGTTTCGCCAGTGCTGCCATGGTCAGCAACCCGACCGTGAAGGGCACGGACCTGAAAAGGAGCCTAGAGCAGCAGACCGGGCTCAAAGTCAGCTACAGCGCGGCGTCACGCCTGAAGGTCGCGGCTACAAGGGCGTCGAAGGAGCAACTGGAGCACGGGTACCGCATCATGACCTCTTACTGCAAGGAACTGGTGAAGGACTGCCCGGGATCGATTGCGGTGGTGCAGGTGGGTGGGTTATCAGTTCTCAGCGGTGGTTGAATTTCGTGGGTAGGAATGGCTTAGATGATTGGTGAGGAATGGTGTCTGCTGTGTGTAGAGTGCACCCCCGACGTTAGCTGTACCCCACCGTCCACAAGTACTCACGTAAACGTGGCTCTAAATCTGCGATTCCGTTGAAGAAGCCGGAGCTCTGGTTGACATGGCGGTGGCAGCGCCACAAAAATGGATGGCTAATGATGCCTCTTGATGCAAAGAAAGGATGGACAAATAGGCGGGAAAAGTTGGGTTGATTTGAATTTATTTGAATTTGACCAAAACCATATCTTGTTTTGTGTTAAGGGAGTGTTCGACGTCTATTTTGTAGGGACAATATTTCAATATTTTTAAATGTGTTTGAAATTTGAAATCGAACTGATCCCATCCCCCTCCCCCCCTTCGATGTGTTTCGCCGTCCCCTGCGCTCCTCTGTACTGCTGTGTCAGAGGGAGACTACCGGCAGGTTCCGTAGTCTTTTCTTCATGCTCGGGCGTGCTGCGTACGCTGCGGTGCGAAGCCCGATCAAGGTGTGTGTCACGCAAAGTTGGGACTGGCCCGTTCCATTTTTAATCGGAACACACGATGTGCACGGCGCATGTTGTAACCCATTGGAGTATTTAGTTGTAACACCACGTAGACGACGTTGAATGCAGTCTACCCCTGTGTCGAGTGTGTCACTTGCGCGCCCGGAGATGTGTTCACGAGGATGTGGGCAACCGCCTGGGGTATACATGGTGGACGAGCGCACTGGCCCCCCATGATTCCTCTTGTACCTAGTTTAGGGGAGGGGGAGGTGTACTCATGTAAACGCATGCCGTAGTCGTTAGACCTTTGTCCTCGCATCCGTAGAATGCCGGACGGAGCACGCCGGGTTCTCACCGACCGGACCAGGCTCTCACATGACCAAGCGCGAAGCGCCGTGAGGTATTCGGCGAGTCGCATGCAGGATGCGGATGCGATGCATCCTGCTAAGGGTGTCCGGCATCGTGGGCTTGCTTCCTTGCAGCATATGGATGACAGCTGGAAATGACTCGATAATTTATTTTCTGGTGTATTCACTTGCTCTTTTCACTTCCAGAGACAGTTGGAGCACTGCGTAAACTGCCTCGAAGGTGCTCACCCAATTTAACACAACGTTGGTGTGATCATCCCGTTTGCGCGGAGTGAGGGTTCTGTTCAGTGACACAAANGCCGTATATTACAGGATTGAGGGTGCGGGTATGTGTGTGTCTACAACGGATATGGTGATTGTGCGTTCGTTGTGGTTTCTCACTTGTTTTTTGTTTCCTCTTTTTCCTCCTTCCTGTGTGCAATCAAGTCCTTTTTCCCCGGCTACCACGCTACCACGGCTATCACGCCACGACTTCCACGCCAATCCTGGCTATCACGCCACCCGGCTATCACGCCTTCCGGACATCCACGTCCTTACTTATACATATACACCACGACCATCACGTCACCAGGCTTCCACGCCTCATCCAGGGATACCATACCTGAGCTATCACGCTCCATCCCAAAGTAGAAGGCTGTCACGCCCATCAAAGTTCATACACTGTACCGTTGGCGGCTACCGCGCCGCTGGCTCTTTTATTTCCCAACCAAGGGACCCCGCGCGCCAAGGCACCGACGCACAAAGCTACTCAACACAGGCAGTTCGTAGGTGTCGTCAGATGTGAGATTTGGTGTTGTCTTGGTTAATCCCATGCCTTCTCGATTACCCGTACAAGTGGTTGGGGTTCGGGGCGGTGTTCTTGAAGCGCTCGCTGAGCTGTTTTCCTCCCCTTTCTTTCTCCCTCCCCTCCAAAAATAAACCCGGACAGAGTGTTGCATGTACGTGCTGCTGGGATATCTGAACCCTCCGGATCGATGTATTGCCACCAGGAGCGTACCACGAGATGCGCCAACCGAATCTATGTAGCGTCTGTATCATGTACCAGACACGATTTTCCCAGCTGTGCAGCCGTCGATATGTGTAGGGTGAGCAAGTCCATGGCAATCATTCAAATTCTCAGGCACGCTTACACACCAAATTCTCCTCGACTAGCTGCACCCAAGTAGCAAGTTGTTTCCTCGGGAAGAAACCCCGCGAGATGCGGCGCGGCGCGTTTTTTGGGGTGTGAGTACCGCCTCTAGACGTCCATGGCAGAGGCCTCCAGCTTCGACAAGTCCACGTCACAGTATCTTTATGTTGGAGAAGTAACGCAGAGGAACAAGGCCGAAGAAACAGATTGAGCCCCATCGACCTTGTTTTTAGGTACTGCTCAGCCAGTCCTTACTCGTGTGTGAGCGGGGCTTGTGTTTTTGTTCATTGGCTTCGCTATTTTGTGCTAACCGTGGACTTGACGTTTGGTATTGCTGCATTGGGTGTCGGCAGGTGCGAGCGCCACTGCTGTTGATGCACTCGCCGATGCGCTGCGACTCCCTTGGGTGCGTTACTGCTCCATTTTGTTGTGTTTGCGAAGCCCCTCTTAGTTTTGTCCCTTCTCCCTGCGTTGCCTGTGCCCCCTCTCCTCGTGTTT